CCACAGCCCCCCTCCATTTCACAGAGCAGTTACATGGTCAGGGCTCCTGGGGACACAGAGTGATGTGATATCACTCTGTTGTCCCACTGGAAAAGTTTTTATATGTATGAGCAGGGCTCGACAAATAATACAATCTACTCGCCCGTGGCCGGACAGCACGGCTGGCGAGCGAGGCTCGCCGTAGTTTGGCAAGCCCTGTGTATATGAGAGAGAGAGAGAGAGATTAATTTTTGTAAGCTTATTGTAATGGGAGGCAAAATTACTCATGACACTTGCCTCTGCTTCAGTAACCACAGATGACATACTTCCACTGAGCTGAATGTGTTTTGGACTGGTCTCAGATTCCTAAGCGTGCTTTGCTTTACAATCCTGATTATACCAAACTCACTCCTGGTTTCAAAAATGCTCTTTTAGGCCATGAGATACTTTGGTTCGTATGTGGAAATATTTGTAGTTGACCTCACACATGTCCATGATTTTCTCTCAGATATCTGAACTCTTCTTCAAACTTTCTCCCTTACAGTGTAGCGAGTGCCTAATCTTGTCTCAGAACTTCTAAAGGTCAAAGGAAGCTGAAACAGTGTGGCTGATTCTTCAGGCAAAAGCCAGGCACCCAAACCAAAGAGGATTTAAATAAAGGTATTCTCTTACAAAGATTCTACAGACAGAAAGGATTCAACAAACTGCCAAGGAAGACAACAAAAAACTTTATATGTAATCCACAAGTGGTCAATAAACTCCTCAGTAGTAACCACAAGCAACAGTCTTTATATTGAAAGATTCTCTCCATCTAATTACACTGCTGTGCTACATAAAACAAGCAGCACTATAAAACAAGAATCCTATTCACAATTCACGTGGCATTTGTATTAATCCTGTATGGAATTTAATAGCAATTTTATTTAAATTTAGCATTTTTGCAGAGACCCATAAATAAGCATCAGGCCCTATGAATTAATTCTGCGACTGGGCTCTAAGTACTAACCTGGTACGTAGAAACTGGAGAAGCAATATACGGCGTAATAGATGTTTGAGTGATCATCCTATTTGTTGCAATACTATACGGTGAAGGATAAAATCTACAAAATGCAAAAAAATTATTAAACTCCATAAATGTAATAACTCAGTGCATCTTTCATAATGCAGAAAATTCTTTTGTTTGGTTTCACCATTTGACATACCCATTTTGTAAAGCAGCTGTAGTTGGATCATAAGTAAGCGTCATTCCAGCCTTTAAGGAAAAAAATAAATATGTACATATATATGTATGTATGTACACACACACACACACACACACACACACACACACACACACACACACACACACACGTGTGTGTGTATATATAAAATGGAAGGGTTGACAAAATTCTATTTTGGAAATAGTTTACATAAATCCATCTTTTCATGCATTATTCTTTAGTGAAAATCATCAGTGATGTTTTATTTTATCCCCCACTATTATTGAGTTTTTTATTTTAATAGTCTCTCTAATCTCCCTTAGCCAGGGGTGTCCAAACTTTTTTCAAAGAGGGCCAGATTTGATGAAGTGAACATGCGTGAGGGCCGACCATTTTGCCTGACATTCTTTGAACCATTAAAATTAAATGCAAATTAACTATTTTATGCAAAGTTTATTGCAAACGGCATACTTTTCATTTCGTCACATGGATGACAAATCTAAACAGGTGTTAAATCACTCTGCCTTTCATATCTGAAGGCCAGATGAAAAAAAAATCCAGGAAGCTGAAATATATGTCAGGAACATTGTAAAGTACATTACATATTATTGGTAATAAAGGTTGTCTGTCAACTTTTAAGTTCAAAAAATATGAACAGGAACATAACACCAAGTATACATGTTGTGTCCAAATATATTTATAACTGATTTAGACCAATTGACATTAACTGAGATTTTACAATGTATTCATCTCAATACATATGGATTCGTTGGGGGCCATAAAAGATAGATATTGCCAAATTACCTGTGGGGCCGTATTAAACCGGAACACGGGCCGCAATTGGCCCGCGGGCCGGACTTTGGACATGCCTGTCCTATACTGAGGGAAAGGTTAAAAATAGGCAAAAATAATTACACAATAAAAGGAGTCTCTGAACTATAATATTGGCTTAGAATATAGTTTCAGTATGAAGAAAGAAATGCAGTATCAGAGAAATTGGAGAGGGAGGTTGTACGTGTAGAGGGATTAGCTGTGCAAATACATGATTAAACTAGGATGTTGCCTGCAATGCACTGAATATAAAAATTAACATGGAGAACTATTTTCCAGTAGACAGAGGTGAACATTTTCACTACCTTAAATGTCTAAACTTACTAAAGACAGTAAAAGACTATGAAAGAAGTACAGTGATATTACAATTTAAGAAAGTATGAAATTGGTATGATGGGAAAAAAACAGGCACGTTTGCAATTATTTACTTCTCTTGTATGTTGTAAAATGGGTACAGTACTGTATTTCAATCCCGACTCACAAGGTTCACGTGACTTAACCCATTTCAAAGCTATCTAACAAAACATTTAATTTTATGACTGAAGTTGTATTTTTGGTAGCTTTTCACAGGAAGTATCTATTGTGTATAAAATCCTGCTCCCCTGAAGTCAAGTGCAAACTTTGACTTCAAGAGTACAAGGATTTCATCTTTTATATTTACATAGAGACACGGGACTGAAGTAGGCATCCTGGGTCACCAAGCTCAGTCCCTTACTATCACAGTCAACTCTGCCATAATAATCCCACGCATAAATTTATCAAACTCCACCCTATAACCAGTTAGATTATAATCATGATTGAGAGGCTGTCCAGAATCTCCCCCTCCACGGGTTAGACATCTATCTACTCATTTCCATCCTAAAATGGCCAGCTTCTATACATCTGTTCTTGTGCCAACACAGGCCTTTAGCTTACATAACTCTTCTTCTTCCCTATTGTTTATTCCCTTGATGTACTGAGACAGAACAGTCATATCTCCTGTCAGCCTTCTCTTTACTAGGCTAAACAAGCTAAGCTTTTTCAGTTTCCTCTTATAAGGAGTCATTGATTACCAGCACTTTACCAAGTATTGCAAATGAGATCTTACTAATACCATGACATTAATACTTCCCAATCTCTACTAGAAATACCTTCTCTGATATATCCTAGAATTGCATTTGGCAGTTACATGATCACATTACATTGGTTACTTTTAATCTTCCTGTGATTGTCAATACGGTTCTTTTCCCTCTCTTGTTTCCAAATGATAAGCTCCAAATGTACAGCAGAAATTCTTATTAGACCTTAAGTGCATTGTGCTCTTAAATTTCATCCATTTTTATTTCTCTAGTGCTAAAGGCCATCCAATTCTTCCTGTATAATACGCCGATCCTCCTTTGCATTGAGGATCAACAAGTTTTAGAAGACAATAAAGATAACATTTTAATATTTTATAAAGTTACAAAGTGGCATGAGAGAGTTGTTGGCACACACACAATATGCCAAAAGGCCAAGCCAAAAAGTCTATGTGTCTATCATTTTCAAAAGTATCATTATCACACACCCACACTAAAGCTTGAAGAGAGGACTTACAAGTCTCACCTCGCCTTCTCTATGCCACGCTCTCCCATTCTGTATATATTTGTTCTGATTCTGTCTTTTTTTCTGTCCTCCATCTGCAAATTTGCATAATAAAGGTTCTGCAGGAGCTAAAGGAATAAGGAATATTTTGAATTAGGCATTCCAAATACTGTATATATTTATAAGTTAAACATGGTAAATTGTATTTACTTTTAAAATATATATATAATGTTAAAATTACAGCATTAACACAGACCCTTGATAGAGCATCAACTAGTGGGCAGGAGAGAACATGAGAATACTTACTCTGCAATACACTACGCCATCAATAGTTGGCAACCAAGTTACATATAAATATACAGGGATACAAATATTGAGAGATATGGGGATCAATCTATTTACGTCTAAGCATATATACCCACATTTGTTTAAACTACTATTTTTTCATAGTTTATTTACCATGTTGTAAAGTATAAACAAGTAAACTGATCACATACAAATACTGTCAAATGCCTAAAACAAACTAAATGGAAAAATGAACAACATTTTCTGTAATCTCTTTCAGTTACAGTCAGCAGGTGTTACTTCTAAAAACATGTTAAATGAGATATAAAATGAAAAATTTAAACTGATTTGTTCCTTTAAGACAGATTATTAATAAGTAGGTAACATCCTATATGGCTATGGACTGCAGTTTCTTCTTAGCTCTTCTAGTTAATTATTATGTATCAATGTAAAATGATGAAATAAGAAGACTGTTAATAAGACAGACACATGACCAGGATATGTTCTAACACGTATCTTATGTGTGTTGCATTGTTCTGTGAACTAATGAAGACAGTGACTCTAGTTCTGTGCTGTGCCTTTAAGGAAGTGCAATTCAGGAAGGAGGCAGGTTGTTTGGAGGGGCTTTAAGCCCCTTTTGCGCTTTCTGCATTCTGAGTCTGGTTCCCTTTGTCAGTTATAGCATCCCTTAGACATTTTGGTAGCTTCCCCAAAGGTGCCTACATTCTGTTTGGCCAGGCCAGAATAGCCAGAGCTCAGAAAAATGTAGCACAAAATCTCCCTTTCTTAACATTGTCTCTGCCCACAGAACTGAAACCTAAAATTCTTGATTTTTGTCCCTTTACCTCACCCTTTTGTGTCCCTCAGAAAAAAGGATCACCAAGAGCTTTATAGTGTTTTCTCTTTTCTAGTCTTTACATAGTAGACTAACCATGATTACCACTTCTATTTCTTATTTCAACATATAAGTAGTTATAAAGAAAAATATATAGGTGGAAAAATTTGCATCTTACTCTTCCCTCTTATTACCCTAATTTATCATCCTCCTGAGTATTTATCACTGATGCACAGTCTTTTTCCAAACCCTCCACACCCACAGGGTGGAAGTATTATTGTGACTTGGCTCTTCACAACTCACTGCCCATAATTCCTGCTACACGAGCTGTCTAAGTTATTTCATGACACTCCTTTATCCTTTTCCTAAAAGGCAATATCCCAGGGAGACAAAGCCGGATCTAAAAACTTGTAGTTTTCTAAATGTGAATTGGACATATAGGCTTGGGAGACAATCAAAATGGTAGCATACTGATAAAAAATAAACCAAAATGTTTTAATATAAATATAGTTAGTACCCACAGGCTATTCATGCTATCTAACGATGCTAACGCTGATTGCTTCTTCCATTTTTGTATGACTTGTTTCTGAACTTTCCAACAGTAAGGACTGGATAGCTCAAAGGATTCATAACAAGACAAAGACTTTGACCTGTAAGCCATCTATTTAACTGACTCAGGATGGTAGTGGTCAAGTCATTATCTGGGGCTGGACTATGTGAAATGAATTATTGAAACCATTTCTGGTTCTATTGGGAAAATACCTACATCGCACCTGACATACTTCTTGGCAGTCTAAGTTCATGCATCTTTCATGGAAAGAGGCAGAAATACCCTTGCAGGTGGTCGGTCTCTAGTGGTCAAGTTTGAATAGGAGTCATACCAATTAGAAAGCTTGCATTGCTCCTGCCTATATTGTATATTTTCAGTAGACAAACAGAAATATTCAGTGTCTGGGTCTAGAATTCTGGAACCTTCTTTGAAAACACTTAAAAATTAATCTGAAAGGGGAAATTAGCTACTATTTCATAATGATGAATTAAGATAGGTACAATTTAAGCAGACAATATGGGAAAAAATTCTTTGGGATGTATAGTACCAGACAGAAGTCCCACAAGGAAAGTGGTAGAAGTCCCAGATGAAAAGCCAAATATTGAAAAATATACTATAGAGAGTAATGTTGCAATGTCAAGGAAATAGACTTCAGCGCCAAGAGTCATTTCCATCTCTGACATCTACTATTGACAGAACAGGTTTTTTAATTTCTTATCATTCTGTATCTTTCTGGGGAATGTATCTTATCAAGGTACTGAAATATCTGTACCAGAAATGCCAGATTTCTATACTCTTGCTCGTGTTGGATAGCATCTTATTCCACAAATTGCCCGGCTGAAGTCAATACGACCACTCTGAACCAGGCACTGCTCATGGTTAGTAAAGGTAATGAAATTCCGGACTATTTTTTAGCTCCTCTATTCCAAAATTTTGATGCATCCATTGTAATGTGTGTAAGCCT